GGACCGTTGGTCCGCCTAACCATTCCAATGAATATTAATGGATGAGATTAACCAAGATAATTTGTCATTTCCATAAGCTGAAGTTTTTCCAATTTTATTTAATATTCTTTTCCAAGATATATCAAATCTACTTCTATCAAGTAACCCTTCGATCCCTCGACTAGAGTTCTCAAGATAGAAATGCATTAAGTTCAAAGAAATACTTATACATTTAGATGAATCATGTGTATATATCCCTATATACCATTCAATTCACACCATGAATTATTCAATCCATTATATGAATTCCTCTCCCAATTCATTCACATAAACCCAATCAATTAAGATATGACCACTCCTAATCGCATTAAGCATAATAACTCATAGATTAAATGGAAATCACAATCATGGATAAATCATAATATAAATATATTCATTGTCATGGTTAGGCTTTCCACAGCCCTAGCTATAAATAAATCAGTTCATGATAAAGGAAATAAAACAAACAAGAGGAAAGAAAGAACTCATAAAGTCACCCTTGGAGCTGAGATCTTCTCTTCTTCTTGTCGCCACCTCCTTCTTGACTTTCTTGCCTAGCTGATCTCCTTCTTGAAGCTTTCTTGATGGCCTTCTTGATTGCTTAAGAGAGAGCTTCAGTAATTGATTGATGCCAGGTGCTAGTACACCTACCCTTTAAATAGGTTTTGGGGAGGGGCTGTTACAACTACTTGGAGTTATCTCAAGAATGGATAATCCAGGTTAATTTTACACTGATCCTATCCTATCTTATATTATCTCTTATCTAATGATTTCAATCTTCTTTAACTTTCTAGAATTACATTTAGAATTCAAATCTAAGAGGACTCTGGATTCTTGAATTCGAGTGGGCTACTTTAATAAGTTGGGTTGCTACAAGGCTTTTCTGCGAATTGGGCTTCAGCTGTGAGCTGGGCTTTACTATGGATCCGCTTCGACTTTGGGCCCGATTTTGACTTCAGTGCAGGCCGAATATGTGAAAATCCAAAATATAAAAGTTGTATATTTCGTTCTTATATTTCTGGTGCATCTTGAGCTTTTCCCGTCCTTGAGCAAGACAAAACTTAAGCAAAAATAAAACAGGAACAAGCTGACTATCTACTGATTTTTGAGGTTTTTCTCAACAAGATGGTTGTCCTCTCGCATGCCTTAATCCAGATTTAATAATCCTTCCATTGTCCACTTCTTCCTCCTCTTTAACTCGTCAAAGAATAATCTCGAATCACCAATCCTCATGATCCCAAGTCAAATCAACAATCAAGGGGAGCAAGCATTTCACCACATGAACATTTTAGGACTAAAGTAAGCACTCATTGCTTTAACAATCAAAATGCAGCAAAACTCAAAATACCCTTTCACAATTTTTTAGGTCAAAACAAGGAATGTTATTACCATAAGTTTGCTTATGCATCACATCTCCACCACTTAGCATGAGTTCAATGTATCAAAAGGTGAATGGGTCTTGTGGTTCTAGGGGTGAGTGCATTTTATGCTCCATCTCACCCTTTTCTTTCACTTTTAGTGTGAGTGCATTTTATGTTCCATCTCACACTAGCCACGATTTTTTATTTTTTATTTTTGAATAAATCAATCTTGCACTATCCTTCTTCAAATTTCACAAGAGCACCACCATTTTCATTCTAATCCATGAACTCATTAATGCGGTCTCAACATGTCTAATAAAGCAAGTTCTAGAATAATCAAACCGTGTTCGACAATCACTCAATCGAAAAGTAATTAGAGCAAGATGCTCATTGGCTCAAAAGCTCACATAAGGGTTAAATTTGTATTGAATCTTGCCTATTGATCATTCAAATTAATGAGGTACCTATCGTAGCCCAAAAATTTCAGCTAGTCTTGCTTGCATCCTTTCTTGTCTATTCCACCTAAGCACATAATTCATGATAGTTTGCAATTATTCAAAAACAAGTTTCTAGGGAGCAGAAGTTTCAAAAAGAAAGGTTAAAAAGTGATGATCGAAGCATGCTAGAGTTAATCCAGAAATGATCAATTTCCCTTAATCCTTCCACACTTAAAGTATACATTATCCTCAATGTATATGACTGTACGTAAGATAGAAAGATTTAAGGGGACTTCCCTGAACGCCTTGTTGAGGTCCTTCAGATGTGAAATCAGCTGCTACACACGATTAAGTTCCTTAGAGAAAAACACAATCCTAAGTAGCTAAAAACAAAAAAAATAACTGAAAAAACTGAACTCAATGGGTTGCTTCCCACAAGCGCTCTTTTTAAGTCGTGAGCTTGACTTTCTTCTTTCTTTCATGGCTGTTTCAAGGAGAGAATGGACCCATGGTGGATGGGTTGCTCTCCTTCAATATAATGCTTTAAACACTACCCATTACCTTGAATGTGTTTCCCTTACCATTATGCAATTCAATTGCTCCATGAGGGAATACCTTAGCCACTACAAAGGGTCCATTCCACCTGGTTTTCAACTTCCCAAGAAATAGCTTGAGAGGAGAATTAAAGAGAAGAACTTTGTCTCATTCCTTAAATTTCTTCTTTGCAATACGGGAGTCATGCCATGCTTTGATTTTTTCTTTGTAAGTCCGGGCAGTCTCATATGCTTGATTCCTCTGTTCTTCTATTTCGTTGAGCTGAAGCTTTCTTTTATCATCTGCATTACTTAAATTGAAATTCAAAAATTTGTTAGCCCGGTAAATTTTATGTTCCAGCTCAACGGGTAGATGGCACACCTTGCCGAAGACTAATTGATAAGGGGACATACCTATTGGGGTTTTGAATGCAGTACGGTAAGCCCAAAGTGCATCGTCTAATTTCAAGGACCAATCTCTCCTAGATGTGGTAACCGTCTTTTCCAAAATCTATTTTAATTCTCTATTAGAGACTTCTATTTGGCCGCTAGTCTGGGGGTGGTAGGGGTTGCAACTCTATGCGTAACACCATACTTGTTTAACAATTGTTCGAATTGTTTATTACAGAAATGCTTCCCCCCATCACTTATGATAGCTCGAGGTGTTCCAAAATGAGTGAATATGAATTCATTTATAAATTTAATGACAACCCGAGCATCATTAGTGGGATATGCACATTCTTCCACCCATTTGCTCACATAATCCACAACCACAAGTATGTATGAATTATTAGCTGATTTTGGAAAGGGCCCCATGAAATCGATGCCCCACACATCAAATATTTTGCAAACAAGAATATTGTTCAAGGGCATCTCATTTCGTCGGGAGATGTTACCTGTCATTTGACAATGGTCACAAGCACTTATGTATGCATAGACATCCTTGAAGAGCGAAGGCCAATAAAAACCGCTTTGGAGAATTTTTGAAGCTGCTCTTGATGCGCCATGGTGACCTCCTACTTCTTTGTCATGGCAGAAATTTATAACACTTTGCACTTCTTCCTCTGGAATACATCTCCTTATCATTCCGTCCCCGCAAATTTTGTACAGGTAAGGTTCATCCCAAAAATAATGCTTCACATCAGAGAAAATTTTCTTTCTCTGCTGATATGTCAAGTGAAGTGGCACCACCTTTCCTGCCAAGAAATTAGCCAAATCAGCAAACCAAGGTTCATCATTTCTGCTAATCGTATACAGTTGCTCATCTGGGAATTCATCATGCAATGCTGAATTATTAATATTTTCAACATAATTTTCATCCAACCTTGATAGATGATAAGCTACTGTATTTTCACTATCCATCGTAGCAGCCTAGGTTTTGCATCTTTTTTAGCAAGTAGATATCTCAAGGCAGCATGGCCGGTGAATACGATGACTTTAGATAAGAGCAAATAAGATCTGAACTTTTCAATAGCAAATACTACTGCAAGTAATTCCTTTTTGGTAGTGGAATAGTTTTTTTGTGCTTCMKTCATGRTCCTACTTGCATAGTAAATGGTATGAAATTTCTTATCTTTTCTTTGCCCTAAAACTGTGCCCAAGGTATCATTACTTGCATCACACATGATTTCGAAGGGTAGTTCCCATATAGGGGCTGATACAATAGGGGCTTGAATCAATTTCTCCTTAAGAGTGTTGAATGCATGCGAACAATTATCATCGAATTCAAAATGTACATCTTTAACTAGCAGATTTGTCAAGGGTCTGGCTATTTTAGAAAAATCTTTAATGAATTGCCTATAAAAACCTACATGCCCAAGAAAACCCCTAACATCCTTTAATGATTGAGGTGGAGGGAGCTTTTCAATTAGTTCTACCTTAGCTTTATCCACCTCGATGCCCCTGGAGGATACTTTATGTCCTAGAACTATTCCTTTCCAAACCATGAAATGACATTTTTCCCAGTTCAAAACAAGGTTAGATTCCTCACACCTTTGAAGTACCTTTTCTAAATTATGCAAGCATTTATCGAATGATGGTCCATAAATGGAGAAGTCGTCCATGAAGACTTCCATGAAGTCATCGATGAAATCACCAAACAACGACATCATACAACGCTGGAAAGTGGCAGGCGCATTGCATAGTCCAAATGGCATTCTCCTAAATGAAAATGTTCCATATGGGCAAGTAAAAGTAGTCTTCTCCTGATCTTCAAGTGCAATGGGTACTTGAAGATACCCGGAGTAGCCATCTAGGAAGCAATAATATTCGTGCCCTACAAGTTTCTCTATCTATTGATCAATAAATGGCAAAGGGAAGTGATCTTTCCTAGTGGCCTCATTCAACTTCCGATAGTCTATGCACACCCTCCAGCCAGTTATTGTTCTTGTGGGAGTCAATTCATTATTTTCATTTAGAATTACAGTAGTCACCCCTTTCTTTGGTACAACTTGAATAGGACTTACCCATGATGAATCAAAAATCGGGTAGATAATACCTGCTTCGAGCCATTTCAGAATTTCTGTCTTCACTACCTATTGCATTTTAGGGTTCAGCCTCCTTTGTGGTTGTGCCTTGGGATTGCAGCCTTCTTTCAACAGAATTTTGTGCATGCATACCAAAGGGTTAATCCCTTTTATGTCGGCGATACTTCATCCGATGGCCAATATATGTTGTTTGAGCACTCCCACAAGCTTTTCCTCTCGGAGACTTGCCAATTCAAAAGAGATAATCACAAGTAATGTGGAACTTTCTCCCAAAAATATATATTTCAAATGAGAAGGTAAAGGTTTAAGTTTCAAAGCTAGAGGTGCTTTGATAGAGGGTAGCAATTGTTTGGTAGAGGTCAGCCCTTCTAGTGGCAGAAATTTTCCTTGTCTTGGCTTGCACCCTTCCTGGCCGGCCTCCAAATAGTTCACTGCCTCCTTTGCTTCTTCCTCCATGACCTGCATGTTTTTACACGAATTAAGAATGCAACATTCAAAGGGATCATCTAACTTTGATGTGTTAATCTTAGCTGCCCAAACATCTATAGAGTCGATTGCATATATTTCATGTTCACTTGTGTTGGGATACTTCATGGTTTGAAATAYRTTAAACACCACTTCTTCAYCATTGATCBTAAGAGTAAGTAGACCCTTTTGTACATCAATTAAAGCATTACCAGTAGCAAGAAAGGGTCTCCCTAGAATCAATGGCATTGTCCTATCTTCCTCCATATCCAACACAACGAAATCAACAGGAATGATGAAATTACCTACTTTGACTAAAACATCTTCTACTATTCCCCTAGGATATTTAATGCTACGATCAGCTAATTGCAGGGTAATAGTTGTAGATGTTAGTTCATGCAATCCGAGTTTTTCAAAAATAGAGTAGGGCATTAAATTTATACTAGCACCCAAGTCACATAAAGCTTTTTCAAATTCAGTATTCCCTATGGTGCAAGGTATAGAAAAACTCCATGGATCCTTAAGCTTTGGGGGCAATTTATTTTGAAGAATGGCTAAGCACTCTTTGTTTAACTTCACCATCTTACAGTCTTCCCATTTCCTTTTGTTTGACATCACCTCCTTCAAGAATTTGGCATATTTTGGCATCTGTGACAATACATCAAGAAGAGGGATGTTAATATGTATCTTTTTAAATACTTCCAAAAATTTCTCAAATTGTTTATCTAAATTATCTTTCAAAACTCTTCTGGGGGTAGGGGAGAGGAAGTTTAATGGCATCTAAATTCAGTTTAGGTGTACTCCCTTCGGCCTCCTTTTGTGGATCGACCACTTCAGCTTTCTGGTCATCATTCTAGGTCTTGCCAATTGTTTTCCCACTTCTTAAAGCAATGGCATTCACTTGATCCCTTGGATTTTTCTTTGTGTTGCTAGGCAATCTTCCCTCTTTTCTTTCTGACAACATATTCACAATCTGCCCCACTTGGACTTCTAAGTTCTTAATTGATGCTTATTGACTTAAGAATCTGTTTTCATGTTCTTGAAAGTTTGTTTCAACAACATTAATGAACTTAGAAATCATTTCTTCCTTCTTTTCTTGTGGGGGCGGCTGTTGTTGGAATCCCATGGGCGCTTTTTGTTGGTTGTTGTTCCATGAAAAATTTGGATGACTCCTCCACCCTGGGTTGTATGTGTTCGAATAGGGGTTAAAATTCGGCCTGCCACCATGAGAAATAAAATTATCACTTTTAGGTGAAGCAAAAGGATTACCTAATGGACAGTCAGAATTAATATGTCCTAATTGGCCACAGAAATCACATGGATTGCTAGATGATGTATTTATTGTTGCAACATTAAGAGTATCTAATTTTTTATTCAAACTAGCAAGTTGAGTAGATAAAACTGCAAAAGAATCGATATGGTGTACTCCCCTTCGATCATTTCTGTCATTACTCCATTGGTAGTTGTTCGACACCATTTCTTCCATTAGGTCATAAGCTTCCTCTGGCATTTTCCTCATGACTGTGCCACATGTGGCTGCATCAGAAATGGAACGATTAGAAGGGGTAATACTATTATAAAAAGTTTGGATTTGACGCCAAGTTGGTATCCCATGGTGATGACACTTCCTAAGCATCTCCTTGAATCGTTCCCATGCTTCATACAAAGATCCCTCTCTAATTGAGCAAAAGTAGTGATATCATTAATTAATTTTGCTATTTAAGAGGGTGGAAAATACTTAGCCATGAATTTTTGGGTTAAGTCATTTCAAGTGGTGATGCTTCCTGCAGGAAGTGAGTTAAGCCAATCTTTAGCTCTATCACGCAAAGAAAATGGAAATAGTCTAAGCCTAATAGCATCATCGCTAACTCCATTATGTTTAAATGTATCRCATATTTCTAGGAAATTAACAATATGTGCATTAGGATCATCACTTGGTAACCCACTAAATTGAATACTCGTCTGAATCATTTGGATAATTGCAAGCTTGATTTTGAAATTATTGGCTTGAATTGTGGGCTTGCAAATGCTGGAAGTAGCCCCATCAATTGTTGGACAAGCATAGTCCAAAAGGGTGCGATTTGCCTCCATTTCTTCCTCAACTTCTACTGCTAGTTCGCCTTCTTCAACCTCCTCTCTCGTTTTACCTTTGTTGGCTCTTTGCAATAGGCGAAGAGTTTTCTCTATTTCAGGATCGAATTCTGCTAGTCCTTCTCTTTTAGTGCGTGCCATGCACTGGTAAATCTGAACATAACAAGAGTTCGGACAAATAAAATAAAAAAATAAAAACAGAAATGAAAATCCAAATTAACCAAGGTCAACAAGCTCAAATATTATTTTTGGATTAAATCCCCGGTAGCGGCGCCAAAAACTTGATAGCTATAATTATAACCCTAACAAGTGCACTAGTTATCAAGTAGTATAAAAATATCGTTTCCACGAGGATTTAACAAAATAAGTATTAGAACTACAGCCTACCTTAATTATTTGGACAACCGAAATTCAAATCAACAATAAGAACTACTGAAAACTAAAAGTAGAAAAAAAAATAAAAGCAATGGTAATCACTAACTGAATATGCAACGATTAATTGACATAGTTAGGCTTTCCATAGCCTAAATGGAAATCACAATCTTGGATAAATCAATAAGATAAAGATATATTCATTAACATGGTTAGGCTTTCCATAGCCTAAATGGAAATCACAATCTTGGATAAATCATAGTTAGGCTTTCCATTGACATAGTTAGGCTATGTCAATCACATAGTTAGGCTTTCCATTAATGGCCACTCCAAATCGCATTAAGCATAATAACTCATAGACTAAATGGAAATCACAATCTTGGATAAATCATAATAAAAATATATTCATTGACATAGTTAGGCTTTCCATAGCCCTAGCTATAAATAAATTAGTTCATGATAAAGGAAATAAAACAAACAAGAGGAAAGAAAGAACTCATAATGTCGCCCTTGGAGCTGAGATCTTCTCTTCTTCTTGCCGCCACCTCCTTCTTGAAGCTTTCTTGCCTGGCTGATCTCCTTCTTGAAGCTTTCTTGATGGTCTTCTTAATTGCTTAAGAGAGAGCTTCAGTAATTGATTGATGTCAGGTGCTGGTACGCCCACTCTTTACATAGTTTTTGGGGAGGGGCTGTTACAACTACTTGGAGTTATCTCAAGAATGGATAATCCAGGTTAGTTTTACACTAATCCTATCCTATCTTATATTATCTCTTCTCTAATGATCTCAATCTTCTTTAACTTTCTAGAATTACATTTAAAATTCAAATCTAAGAGGACTTTGGATTCTTGAATTTGAGTGGGCTGCTTTAATAAGTTGGGCTGCTATAGGGCTTTTCTGCGAATTGGGCTTCAACTGTGAGCTGGGCTTTACTATGGATCTACTTCGACTTTGGGTCCGATTTTGATTTCAGTACAGGCCGAATCTGTGAAAACCCAAAATATGAAATTTGTATATTTAACTCTTATCTTTCCGGTACATCTTGAATCAGCCCAATCGGAGCCCGGATAAGAGAGTTGGGCCCAGATTACTGAACGGTGCCGAAATTGTGAAAAACCATCCGATTAGCCTTGTCTTCCTTCTGACGATTTCTTTCCTTGCCCTGAATCAAAATACCAGCGTAATGAGTCCAATTAAGTGTTAATTAAGTGTAGAAAGACTGAATATTCATAGATAAGAATATTATAATTTTTATTCACATCAGTGCATAAAGCACATACAACCAAAACATGAAGAATAGAGAAGTCAGGTGAGTGATAGAATAAGCTCTAAAAGGGAAAACCATTGTGCTGCAAAACAAAAGAAAGGAGAACATTGATAAGGTACACAACAGTGTTGGCGTTTTCACCCAAAAGGAATTAAGAGCATGTGAGTCATGAAGCAGGGTTCGAATAATACTTAAAATGTGTTTGTTCTTGCGCTTTGCCATTCTATTCTATTGTGGAGTGCCAAGACAAGATCTTTGTGACTAAATTCTATTCACTCAAGAAGGTTTGAAAGTCTCCATCAAAGTATTCGCCCCTTGAGTTTGAATGGAGGACTCCATTAATAGCATCCAATTGATTTTTGATCTTATCCAAAAATGATGCAAAGGTGGGAAAAACATTAGATTTATTTCTTAAAATAATATATCAAGGTAAAACGTATGCAATTATCAATAATGTAATAAAATACTTATACCTCAATCTTGAAATTACAGGAGATGACCACACATCACTATGTATTAGTTTAAAGGGAACAAATGCATGTTCAACAGAAGAAAGAACATGATGAAAATAACTTTTACTCAAGCAACAAAAAATGCAACCTTTATTAACATTAGCAAAAAAGTAACTTTAGAAGATAAACAATCATTACAAAATAAGAACTCTAGTTTATTTGCGTAGGGATGACCAAGAAGTCTATACCACAAATGCCACATTATTTTTGAAACAACTTAGGGTTAGTAGTAAGAAAATAAGATGTAAATGACAACATTCATGTCTTTTCAAATTCCAAGGCAAATAGTCATCCCGTTTTATGCCCCTTCCCCTTCCCTATTCCAATTTTCTAGTCTTGTATCAAACACTCATCAGGAGAAAATGTTATAATTAGCTAACAAAAATCAAGTATGTTGTAAACTTAGGAACAAAACAAGGTGTTGGGAAGATGAAATTGGAAATTAGCAGAAGTAGATAAGGATAAATGATTACAACCAACAATGTCCAATTTTTTACCATTAATAGTAACAATATGTTTATTTAAGAATTGGGTTTAAAAGATTGACCAGTATATGCCCCTGTCATATGGGTAGAGGCACTAGAGTCAATGATCCATAGGTGACTAAGAGAAGTAGGAGCATGGAAAGCAAAAAGGAGGCTCCTCGCAACCTCAACCACATGTTTGTTCTTCCTTTCCACCACTCTATTTTGTTGAGTGTAGGAACAAGAACTCTAATGAATAATTCCAAAGTTATCAAAGTAGGAGGAAAGACTATTCTCAAAATATTCCTTTGCATTATCAGATCAGAATATTTTGATCCGAGTGTTAAATTGGGTAAGTATAAGTTCATAAAATTTTTGTACAATATTTGGTACTTCATTATAGGATTTCTTAAGGTAAATCCAGGTATAATGAGAGAAATCATCAATGAAAAAAATGAAATATTTGTAACCCCTCATAGTAGGTAAATGATATGGCCCTCATACATTAGAGTGCACAATATGGAAAGGAGAAACAAATCTTTTATTACTCATTGAAAATGATTGTCTACAATGTTTTGCAAGTTCACATGACTCACAATGAAGACTTGATAGGGATATTCCCTTAAACATTTCTGGAAACAAATGACCAAATCTCAAATGACGCTATAATCTAGGACTTTGATCAGAAACATCTAGAAAATATATCCCATTCGCTTCATGGCAACTCCCAATCGTCCTCTGAGATTTTAGGTCTTGAAAAACACAATAAGAAGGAAAGAAGGTTATGTTGTAGTTCATTGATTTTGTTAAACTACAAACAGATAAAAAGTTAGTGCTAAGTTTAGGAACATAAAGGACAAAGGATAATACAAGTAGT